CCGCTGTGATGTCTCCCCACAGGCGGCGCAGGACCAGGCAGGCCGGGAGCCCCAGAGTGGCGCTGGGAGAGATGGGCAGGGTGTGGGGTACAGAGAGAGTGTGTGTGTGTGTGTTTCTGTGTGCACGTGTGTCTTTGTGTGTGCAGTTGAGTCCGTATGTGTGTGCAGATGAGTGCATGTGTGCATGCACGTGCATCGTGTGTGTGGTGGGAGACCTCCCAAAGCCCGGCTGCAGAGCAACTGCCAGCAGCTGTGCCAGCGTGGCAGGGACAGGACCGCTCTCACCGCGTGTGTGCCCACATGTGCCGATGGCTGCGTCGTGCTCAGGTGTGTGTGTCCCCCCATGCCTGCAGTGCGAGGAGGGGCCGGGGGCTGCGTGGGCATGGTGCCTCTGTGTGCTGGCCCCCTACCACAGGGCGCTGTGGTGCGGTGGGGAGCTGGCGTGCCTGCGTGGGCGCGCTTATGTCGCGGTGTGACTCTGTGTGTGTAACGGGTGCCTGTCGGTGACACGGTGCCTGCGTGGGTGTGAAGCTGCAGGGTGGGGGTACCACCCCCCCAGCCCCAATTGGCGGCTCTCCTCTCACCCACCCACACCATGCCATGGGCAGAGCCCCTTATTTAACTCCGCAGAGCAGCCAGCACTCTGGTACTTCGCCTCCCAGCTGAGCCCGTGCTGGGAGAGCAGGCAGCACAGCCTGCAGCCGCTGCAGCTGCCAGCGGCGAGGGACGCTCTGCCCCCGTCTCTGCACCAGACGACAACTGTGAGGGGTCAAGGTCTGTGCCCCCGCGGCACCCTGCCCTGGGGGCTTCCCGGGGTTCCTGGGGGGCTGCTGTGTCCTATCCTCACCTGGCGCAGGCTGGGAGAAGGGAGGAGGGGGAAGTTGGTGAAAGCTGCGGGGGAGGGCACAGGCCGGGAGGAGAGATGGGGCAAAGATGCCGCTTGAATTCGGGGAGGGCTTGAGGGGCGCTCTGGAAGCAAGTCTGGGTCTGGGATCTGGCTGTCAGCAAGCGTGTGTGTGCCAGTGCATGTGTCGGGGGACACGTGTGTGTGTGTGTGTGTGTGCCAGTGCATGTGTCAGGGGAATGCGTGTGTGGGCTAACATGGGTGAACATGCAGGACTGAGTCCGAGCCCATGTTTGTGATCTCTGTATGCCCACGCTCGGTCTTGTGTGCGTGTTTGCACAGCCCGGCTGATGTGTGACTGCACAAACATGGCACCACAGGCACAAGTGGTGGCACGGGAGCCCTGGGGCTG